CCCCCCCCCCCCCCACCATCGCGGCCTGCGAACGACAGCCAGGACGAGACACAGAGCGCCGCCTACACACACAAACAGACACGTAGACAGCAAGATGCGTCTCTGAATAGCTCCCTTCTTCCCCCGAACATAACGCACCCCCTGGCAATGACTGGACACAGGCTACATTTCCGGTCAGGTACGGCCAAAATGAGCGTGCGTTTTATTCGAGGGAAAGGCTGACAGCTGCACACAGATGCACAGCTAGAGAGCACACAGATGCACAGCTAGAGAGTTAGGCAACGTCTCAGAGCGCAGAAAACGAAACAAGGATCGATCCAAAGCAGCAGGCAGACACGTGGGGGGGGGGGGCAAACACGTGGACACGCGGCCACGTGAACACGCCGACACGTGGACACTTGCACAGGCAGACATCGGGACACGCGGACTGGCAGACGACAAGAGGAGCCGCTGGTGCTCCCCCGCATCTTCACGGACGTGAATCCAAATATAACGCCTTCACTGAGCGGCCCCATCATGTTGATTGGCACCGCGGGAGAGCGGGGCTGTCCGTGTCCTCCGCTTACACAAGTCGTGCGGGTCGCTACTTATGCAGCAGACAGACAGACAGACAGACAGACAGAGACAATTTATTTCGTGAGTTTGTTGAAATAGACATTTGTTCCCCAGTTCAGACTTCAAAAATCATATCACTTCATCCGAGGCCTTCCGTGCCATCACAAAGTTCAGCAGACAACGGGTGACAGGAAGACACGTGAACACGTGGACAGGTGGACACGTGGACAGGCGGAGACACGTGGACAGGCAGAGACACGTGGACAGGTGGACACGTGGACGCGCGTAGAAAGCAACAAAAGGGCAGACAGGGGGACAGTCCAGTCCCGCTTGCTACAAAGTGGTAGTCCAGTGGGCGGTTGGAAAGGAGCCTGTACGTGCGTGGACACGTGAACAGGCAGGACACGTGGACATGCAGATAAGAGGAAAGGCAGACAAGAGGACAGTTTTTTTTCCCTTTTCTCTTTTTCAAAGCAGGAAGCACGTAACTTTATTACGTTATTGTATAATAAAGTTCGTTCCTTAGAAAATTACAAAAAAAAAAAAGGCTTAGGAGAAGTTGTAGGTAGGTAGTACAGGTGAAGTGGAGAGAAGAATATAGCTAATGTAATTTAAAAAAAAAAAAAAAAAAAAAAAAAAAAAAAAAAAAAAAAAAAAAAAAAAAAAAAAAAAAAAAAAAAAAAAAAAAAAACTAAAAAGGTTTAAAAAAAAAAAAAAAAAAAAAAAAGAGTTTGCTGGTAGGTAGTGCAAGTGAATTGAGAGAAGAATATAATATAGCTCAGTTATTATTGGGAAAAAAAAACAAACAAAGACACGGCCTGGATTTAAGCGCTTGATCTGTTTGCTACCAGCATTTCTTTTTCTTTTTTCTTTTTTTTTTAATACCATCATTTCCATGTGTGCGTGTACCATTGAGCCACGTGGCGAGTGGCGCCATTTTCTTTCCCCGAATAGAACGCCTGGTCAATTTTCGGTCACTGCACGTTCTACTCGAAGGACGAAGACCATAGGTTGCTCACCTTTTCTTCTTCTTTTTTCTTTTTTCTTTTTTTTCTTTTTTTCTTTTTTTGCCTTTTTTCTTTTTTTTTCCTTTTTTTCTTTTTTTTCCTTTTTTTCTCTCTTTTTTTTTCTTTTTTTTTTCTTTTTTTTCACCTCATCTTTTTTTTTTTTACCTCACCTTTTTCCAACATAGCTGGCCTCTCACTGTCTCGCCCACTCCAAGTCACCACACCCGCGAGAAGGATTGCCCAATGACGGCGTGTACAATTAGGGCAACTTTCCGGAGGATTGCCCAATGACGGCGTGTACAACTAGGGCAACTTTCCGTCCAGATACAGTACAATGATAATAATGACAGCAACAAGAAGGGGATTGATTGTTCAGTCCACCGCGCCAAAAATAAACACAAACTTTTCGTCTCAAATTTCGGATTTCCAGTCCAGGCAGAGTGGCTCGAGCCTGGATCCTCGAGACCCTAATTAATAAGCAGCAGCAGCAGGAAGGGCCAAGTCCCACTAGCAGCGTTGAGGCTCCTCAACGCCCGAATCTGGACGTGTTTGTGGATTCAGGAAACTCAACACCATTTCTGCACATCTCCGCAAAAGCGTCCGGAGTCAGGCTTTGAGGTAGCTTAACGCTGCTACAGTGGGCCTTGGCCCCAGCAGATAGGCAAGATTGCACCGGTTTTCAGGCTCGGAGGATTCAAACAAGAAATTGTTCTCATTCTCAATGCTGAAAACTACCTCTCCTCCCTGGGGCGAGGTCCCACTAGCAAAGAGGATTGGATTGAATGCCTGAATGTGGCCTTTTTTTTGTGGAATGGTGCGGACAACCCTAACCCTTAAGCAGCATTGGCCGCAGGGGGAGGCCTGTGTTCCTCTGCGAATCGGGTAAGTTTTGATGCGGGCCCCGGATAAAGGCGATCGAGGGCGGGTGGCGTGCAGAGTGGAGCGCATATCGAATTGTTCACAGCACGCCACTAAACGTGAGAGCGCGCCCACGGGGCCGGGTACACGGCGGGCGTCTGTGCGGATGAATATGGTACACGGCGGGCGTCGATGCGGATGAATATGGTACACGGCGGGTGTCGATGCGGATGAATATGGTACACGGCGGGCGTCGATGCGGATGAATATGGTACACGGCGGGCGTCGATGCGGATGAATATGGTACACGGCGGGCGTCGATGCGGATGAATATCTCGACGTGCCCTCCGTCGGATAGCATTTCCGTGTCTATTTGTGTCCGGCCCCCTTTTTTTATTTTTTGCTTTTGTGTTTCGTATTTTAAAAAGAAAAAAAAGAATTTGTCATTTTTTTGTGTGTGTTTGACTTCTTCTTTTTTTTTTTTTTTATCTGACAATTTCCTTTTTTTTTTACAAGCCGGGAAACGGCCCGACGTCCCTTAGAAAAAGTGGGCGGACTACCAAATCGAGCACGACATCACCGACCAAACTCAACAGGGTGTCCGCGATAACAGTTATCTCATCCTAGTCACCTACTCACTCACTCACCTATTCGTCTAAGATTATAGGAGGATATTTCTTTTTACATCTAACCATTACAAGCCAAACAAGAATACCAAAGCAAAAAGAGTTCAAGCAAGGTGCAAACAACGTAGGAAAAGTCACTAAGTAAAAATAGTATCTAAAAGCACATCTAAAAGTAAATTCAGAAATTTGAAACAAGGATCTCAGAGGAAAAAACTCGAAAAGGTCAACACTGGCCGCTGACCTTGCCCCATCTGGACTTTGAGCAGGTCTGGGAATCTTTCCCAGCGTGCGATAAACTTTTTGAGGGGTCTCGGTGCATACTCCTTGTTCAGAACTCTGAGCTGCCAATCCGTCGCAATCATCTGTTTGATGGAGAATTTAATCTCTGCACAAATCATCGGCGGTGTGAGATTCTCTGCTCTTCGGATTGCAGAGTTCCGCAGTGTCCATAACGTCCAAAGAATGGCTCCCCTCAGACTCCCCTCGGGGTAATCAAGGGATGTATTCCTTTGCTGACAACGGGCCACCACTCCAAGGAGAACAAATTCATCCCCCCATCTAGAGTCAGGGTGGAAAACAGGAACAAATCCCGAGCGCCACCATGCCCAGAAATGGCGGGAGAGCTCACAATGCAAGCACATGTGATGCAGATCCTCAATTGTAGTTCCTGGACATAACTGGCACAGAGGGCCAGCCTTAGCTGTTCGCCTGGCACACCAATTGGTTGTTGGCACGGCCAAGTGAGCCATCAGCCACAGAAAGCTAGCTTGCTTAACTACTGGTAAGTCCATCAGTAGTTTCCAAAAGACTGGAAAGCGTCGGGAGAGACGAGGAAGAGAGTCTTGTATCCATCCCGTCGCCATCCATCGTTTTGACACAATCCAATCCACATCCACCCGTTGGTGTATCAAGTTATACCCCAGTTTCGTTGTGTAGCCATACAATAGAGTCATCTTATGCCGTTGGATATCCGTGGTCCAGGCCCATTGTAAGAAGGTACAGCCAGCAAATAGGGTCTGACCTGATGAGAATCTTCCAATGTACAAATTGGCAGCAGTCGGGACAAGGGTGGCAAAGGGCGAGGGTGTTGTGCTAGTGTAAGCTACGGGCCAATGAGTACTGCGAGGATGATGTTTCCCAACAAGATGCAGTAAGCTGCTCCCCCGCCATTTGTTCAATTTTCCACAGAACTTACGGAGCCTGATGTTGCACATCCCTGTACCACCCTCCCTGGTACGGGATCAGCCCTTTTCTAAGCTCATCTTACCACTGTGTATTGCCTCTTGTAACAGGCGCAAATGGTCTTTCTGATGCCACAGCCCTGATAAGACAGGCTCTAAGGTTTCACAGGTTTTCCATTCATTCTGTTGGGTGTCCCAAATATCTGAAATTGTTCCCAAACCTCTAGCCATCCATGCATCTCCAAACGCTCCCCTCC